GGTGTTAAATCTCGAAAGAAATTACCTCTTTTTATTAGCATCAAGAAATCTCATATATGAAACTGGTATTCCATATCAGGGAGATGGGTTTATCAAAATCAATTAACATTATGCAATTAGTGACTGAATTAGGTGCTAGACATCATAGTTTGTAGATTTGATAATATCTACTAGAAAAAGGTACATTGGCATTAAGTTTCCATCTTTATAAGTTCTTTAAAATCATATCAGAAAAAAACCAGTAATCCAGTGTCATACGCATATGTTGAAGAGCTACAAAGAAACTGATAAAGAGAGAAAGCAATAATCACTAGATCCTAAAATATGAGAGACAGTAGACTTTTATTGGAGAATATCTTATAAATAAAACTATTGTATGTCAAAAAAGGGAAAATAATACAGCCAAACAGCATCTTATTTATAGGAGGTAATTGACAGTTAGAAATGACATAACTCTTCCATTAAGCAAAAGATAGGAAATGGAATTTGTGCAGAGAAACTTACATTTGGTAAGAAAGAAATGGATAAGAGGAGATCCACAAAGAAGAAATGGGGAGGAAACCATTAAATTTTATAAGCTGGATAGAAGAAAACATTTGAAAGATCAAGTCTTACATGCAAAAGAATTCTTGCATGGCCTAATGGTTCTTAGCAGAAGGCTGAGTCTGAGGAAGGGAAACTGTTTTGTATGATGAGAAAAGCCATATAAATTGTAAGATTACTAGAAAAAAAGAAATCTACTTATCTTGTAACAGAGTAAAATGCTTCTAGGAACATTTCAGTCCAGTTCCTTCAGGCAACTTACCCTCTCATATTAATAATCTCAGACTGTGATGTATGTATAGATGTAAAATTACTAGGATAATGTTTTTTCATTGCTGTTCCTTTATTTTCTGTGATTTTACTTATTTTTAGATTTTTTTTTTTATAAGTAAAACATATTCCAACTGGTGATTTTTTAAGGGCATTAATCCTCTTTTAAATGAGTCTGTATAGGGCTCATGGATTAAGAATTTGAAATAATGAATATCTTGTTTTCAGGGTCATGGGTATCCTGTACGCAGAATTAAATATTTTCCATTTGCTGAAACCCAGCTAGCTTCAGTATCCTATGACTTAACAACAAGGTAAGTCTCATTTAGCTTGTGTATAGAACAGATGATGCAAGAATAGTAGTACTCTTTGTATAAAAGGATGATTTATATAATGTATTTATTAATGGATTGATGTCTCAACCAATTGTATGCCATAAAAATAGTTTTTCTATGAATTGGGAATTGGGCTATTCTAATGAAATGTCATTTAGTGTTATAAAATGTTTACATCTAAAGCCCCTGTACACATGTTGCAAAAATGTAAACATTTGTTTTTTTGTATTTCCTTTCAAAACTGTTTTATTGTCTCTAGTGGAAATTTCTTCCTTGTTAATTTTGCATCAATCTTGATTAGTTCCAGTTAAAGTTTACCCTCTGTTAACTGGGAAACTGAGAATTATATAGGAAGCTAGCAGTTTCAAATTATCATTGAGATTGCTTATTATTTTTAGTGGTTTTAGTTTTTTTTGTATTTTAAAGTAATTAAAAATAGAGAAAGAATTTGATATTAGATATGTTTAAAATTATGTTTTGAGACATCAGCTTCATTTTTCTTCATCAAGCAAACTTACATCTACTACTAATTTGTAAAACACCTTTTTGTATGTGTTTGTATAATTTCTTATTAACTAGTCATTTGATTTTTTTCAGGGAAAAACCTATACTGAGTATCTAATTTATCATTTTTTTCATATTTCAGAATATGGGACCATTCACTACCAAACCCCAGCTTATCTGTTTTGGAAACCCACAGTGAATTTGTCTATGGCCTAGATTTTTCAAACCATGTTGAAGGATTACTAGCAGACTGTGCTTGGGATCAGTCAGTTGGTATATACAATGTTTTTAAACCTGGGAAATCAGGACCACCTACATATGGAGGTGCAACATGATCATTCCGCTTTGTGGAGTGCACCGAAAGGATAGTTTCTTATACACTAGTAAGAAAATGTGCAATTTTTAAAAGATGTTTCGAGTTACCGAAGGAGATTTATATATAATTCTAATTTTGATTTTCCATTGTTAATTATCCTATACAGAGTAAGACAAGTTTGTATGAAATGCTTCCAGATATGTCAATTGTAGAATGCTGACCAGACTCTGATAGTATCAAGAACAAAATATGGTTTTAGCCTCAATTATTAATAATGATGGCAAGCAATTCTTACCAAGCAGACCATAAAGATTAGTGAGATAAACACAAAGAATCTGTAAATGTGTATGGTGTTTTTTCCTCCCAATAATCTAAACATAATTGTTAAACAAGCTGCCTATACAGTATATGGTTGTTCAGTGACCTGGCGGACAAAGATATGAAAATATAATTAAGTGGGAATTAGAAAGTAAATATTGACATGTAAAAACAAATAGGTACCATCAGGAACACTGCCTATGACATCACAGTG